ATTTAAACCTGTTATTGCTATGCAATGCACTCGATTATGATGCTGTACTAAAGCAATTATAGGTTTAAATCAGGAAGTGAGGAGGAAACATTGGGCGATACAGTACTTGGTCATCTTTGACTCTCCCATGTTGTTCAGGTAGATCTCAACCTCTCCAAGGTTGCCTACCCCCTACTGTTCACCCTACCTTTGCGCTTTGCTGTTGGCTATCTATTTTGAGAAAGCATTCAGTAAAAAGTGGGGTTCTCCCATGGTGGTAGACTCCCCTGTCTCCCCTCTAAACAAGGCTACCTTTATCTCTCTTCTGAAGACTCCTCTTCTTTTTGAAACCCCACTGACAAGAAGGTAAAGAGCACAGCATGCTCACTGTGTGTGGCTTCAGGGGCCTTGAGTCGTCCTGTCCTAACTTCGGGTATGATCTTTCAGACCCTGACCGAGTGGGCCAAGCTCCTACGTCAAGGGTTGGCTTCTGAGCATGTCTTTCCTGCTTATGTTGACTTAGCGGATTAACTAGTGCAGGGGCTCCTATACCTGTGTGACTTGTGTGACCTCTGTTGTGTTCTTAGGGTGTCTTCTCTGGCTTAAGTGCTTGTTTGCTAACCAGACCGCCAAGAAAGTCCTTACGAAAATGTTATTTGAGGGCGGTCATTTATTTGGTGCGTTCCTGGACAACATCATTAAGAATGTCACTGGGGGCAAGACCACCTTTCCCAGACTAGGAAGCCTAAGGACTCCTGTTGCAAGGCGGGACCTTCCTTTTCTGCTCACGAAGGTCTTCTTCATAGCCAAGGCTCCTCCACGGACAAGTTCACCAAACCTTCTGCCTCTTCTACTGCCAAGCGTTCTTGGCAGCCCAAAACCTCCAAGCCTGCTGAGAAACCCACTTTCACATGAAAGTGCACCCCCTCCTCACACCTCAAGGTGGGGGATGTTTCCTGTTGTTCATGGATCACTGGCTCATTCCAGTATTGCTTTTTTTATTTCAACTTCCTTCTTTCCCTACAATGCCTAGCCGACTTGCACTTTGTAGTTCAGAGACCTCTGGATCAGGGAGTCATAGCTCAAATTCCATTCTCCCAAGAGCTTCTACTCCAGTCTTTTTGTTGTTCTGAAGAAGGATGGTGTTCATCCTATTCTGGATTTAAAGTCCCTGCATCCCTTTCTGGAGGTGTGCAAGCTCTTAATGGAGTTGGTGCGGTCAGTCAGAGCTTGCTGACACCAAGGGGATCTTCTGGCTTCAGTTGACACCAAGGACACCTATGTCAATATCCCCATTTGTTGCTTTCATCAGAGACTCCTTCGGTTTGCTATGGGGGAATTACATTTCTAATTTGTAGCTCTTCCCTTTGGCCTGACTTCAGATCCATGTATCTCCATCAAGGTCCAGGCCTCGGTATCTGTCATGAGGTACCTGAATGACTTTTTCCTGTGAGCTCAATCACATTCAGACTTGGAGCTTGAGCTGTCCATCACAACCAAAACCTTGGAGGAACTGGTTTCTCAATCTGCACAATTCGGTCTTGACTCTCTCTGCATCTGGACTACTTGGGACTCCTTTTGTCACATCCATAGCCACATTGTTTCTTCCTAAGGAGAAATTTCATAGGTTGTGTCTTTATGTTTTTTCGCTTCCTTTCTTTGGATGTATGCTTTCATTCTCCTGAAGCTCCTTCCTTGGTTGCTTCCATGAATAGAGCAGGAGGGCATTCCAGTTGTTCTGGTGGCTCTAAATTGGCTGCATAGGGCTTGGTTTGCAGATCTCTTTCGGCTGGTTGTGGACACACCTTGGTGACTCCCACTTTACCCAGATCCTCTCTTCGAAGGTCTGATCTGCTTTAAAGTCATTGGCTTTTGAGAGAGGGTCTGTCCCCAACAGTTATTTCCACTATGCTTAGAGCTTGGAGGTCTACTTCTTTATTTATCTGATACTGCACCTGGAAGCCCTACTTTGCTTATTGTGTGTCTTTGGAGTTCATCCCTAAAGTTTTTGGTGGCTGGAATTCTGACTTCAAAGGGGCGTGTATTGTCAGTTTCCCCTCAGTGTGATTAGGGGCCAGGTTTCTGCTTTGGATGTTCTGTTTCAACTTCCCTTGACCTCCTCTTCCTTGGTTCATACCTTTTACCGAGGGGGTCACTCAGGTGGCTTCATCTTCTAGGCCTCCCTTACTGCCTTGGGACCTGAATCTTTTCTTGTTTGTCCTTCAAAACTCCCCTTTTGAGAATATCCAAGATATTACCCATTTAGCTTTATCTCAGAAGGTGGCCTTCTTGGGCCCCATTACTACTCATCAGGTGTCTGAGCTCTGAGCTCGTGGCTTTTTCCTGTAAGCAACTTTTTTTTGTGTTGCATGAGGACAATGTTTTTTGTCCTAGCCTGTCTTTTTTGCCAAAAGAGGTGTTGGCCTTCCACCTTAACAAAGATATCTTCTTGATATCCCTTTCACCCAAGGAAAGCGGCTCTTCAATCTGCTTTGTCTTCAATCATTTCCAGGCCGTGAGGCTCTGTTCCCAATTACTGCTCACTCTACCAGGGTGCTGAGTGTGACGAGCGTGGCGTCAGACCCCAGCCCTTCTCACCAAACTTGTGACCGAAGGACTAGCCAATCTAAAATCGCGCTGTCATGTGCGGAACAATGCCACACCCAACTGCACCCTGCACACCGATGTTCCCGCTAATTGGACCACGATCGATGTACCGGCAGCCTGAATGCGATTGTTACTGGGTAAGGTTAATTACGCAATTAACCCTTCACACTGCCACCACCTCCTTTTTTTATACAGAGAAAGAGGAAACTCAGCAATACACTAGGACGATTGGTTAACCGTCCGTATCCTACAGACTCTCTATCTCGCTATCTCTACAGACCAGTTATACAGAGGGTTAAATACTCATAGTAGCGTTCTTTTTAGAGGCAGGGATTCGTAAATTGCAATTAAGAGCTATAGAAACAATTCAACACTTTCAGAAAGTAAGATTTATTACCAAAAGGTTAAAAGGGTGCAGTACAAATACTTACAGAAAGAAGATGTAACCAATATATATACGTATATATATTATATATATATATATATATATATATAAGTATGTATATATATATATATATATATATATATATATATATATATATAGCACAACAGCACAGCAACAGATAACAGAAAGAAGTTTAGGTAAATAAGTACTTGCCAAATAAATGCCTGGAGTTAAGCAGTTTCAAGTCTGATGAGCTAAAAAAGGGATTTCTGGTCTCGCATTGGGTTTCGTTGTTGCCACAAGATTCTCCTTTGCTTTCTGTCCGATAGATTTTGTATTGAAGACGGTCCTCATTGTCTGACTGAACACAAAAGATAACACTTCTTTTCTACACAACATCACCTAGTATCTTCCCTACCTTATTTGGCAGAGGAATTGTTAGGCAGGGCTCAGCATCATATGCCGCTTGCATTCCTGAGGGATTGGGAATGGGGAGATAATGTCTGCTCTTCTGTGCACATCTCCCCCCCTCAGGTGTTTGCATAAGAGTTTAAGAGAAATACCAAAATGTATAAGTTTGGGGCAAAATGGAGAACTGTGCCTCTCCCGTGGGCATGATTGTGATACTGAGCACGTCCTGGGATTTTCACCACTCTACTTCTGTTGTTCCGGTGTGTAAGAAAGCTACTTGTTGATCAGTTCACACCTTTACCAAGTTTTGTAAAGTTGCCGTGACTGCCTCAGTGGATGCCAGCTTTGGCTGGAAAGTTTGCAGTTGGCCTGGGAGTTGGTTCTCTATTTGTTGGTCTTTTGTTTGGACCCATCCTTTTTTCTGTTTTCTAGCACTGTTTTATGATGATGTCGCATCTGTGAAAAAGTTCAGTGTCCTACAATGAGCAATAAAGAAAATTGGATTTTTGTACTCCCTGTACTTTATTGAAGGGCGTAGCACCTATCCAATCTGTTTTTTTTCTGGCTGTCTCTGGGTTGTTATCCTGTTACAGATGGCTACTAACTGAATTTGGGTGTGGCCACCACTAGACAGCCACCTCTTAAGCATGCTTTTAGTGTTAAATTGCACCTAGTGTCCTGCTCCTGATGGTTGTGACATCAAATCCATCCATGATGAAGTTAAGCTGTGTGCTTTAATGAAGTTTTCTAATATTGCACAGGGACAAGGTGATCTTGACACCAGGATCTTCTTTTTTACCCAAGACGGTCTCTCTCTTCCATCTCAATAAGGATATTGGTCTTCCTTCCCTTTGTTCTGCTCCTAAATACATCTATACACTGTATAGATGTTGTCAGGACTGTCAGGGTCTAACTGCCATCCATGTTTTCTATTTACCAAATGGAGTCACGTTATGTCCTCCCTTCAGGCTCTCAAAATAGTCACCCTGCTTCTTGCTTCACCACTGCCATGTGGATCAGACATTTTCTAGGGCCTACGCTTTAAGGATACCTCTCTTCCCTTTCAGAACTTTCCAGCATCGGGCATCTGTATCCCTTGTTTTGTGAGGGCCTTTTAGCAGTTCGGTTTGTTATGTTGTTGTCCCCACTCCCCAGTTTCTGCTTGTGGGTGCCCCAAGGTCTATGAAGAAAAGTCCTGTTTCCTGCACTATGTTATTAAGGTAAAGGAAATGTATACTCACCTGTAAAGTCTATATCTTGAAGTACAGTACAGGACACCGGAATTCCTCCCCTCTCTCTCTCTGGTGGACTCTCCTTATTGCTTGATAAAAACTTGGGCCTTCCCTAGGGATGTCCTAGCAAAGGTTTTGCCAGTGTCCAATCACCTGATGGTAACCTGAATGTAACCCATGTTCTTTGAATACAAGCTCTGTGTCCTGTACTGTACTCCAAGATAAGCAATTTATAGGTAAATTGAAAGTCTGTTTTTTATGAATTTACTAGTCAGTGAATAGTTAAAAAATTGTATTAATAACTTTTTCCATTGTAATTATAGGATGTTTTTAGGAACAGTTGTTCCACTAACAGTGTATGATCTGTTGTTTCACTATTTTACCAGGTCAACAAAGTCTTAAGGAATCACTTAATCCGGCCACACTGGATGTTTGCTATGGACAATATCATTCGGCGAGCGGTGCAGGCAGCTGTCACTATTCTCATTCCTGGTAAGGTTATTGAATTTCCAGAGGAGGTGTGATTGAGTGAGCCTAAGAGACGATTTCCCATCAGCTGCTATTAGAATGCCTACTGTCATTGTTCTTGTACTATCTTGTCCAAATACAATTTATAAAAAGCATTTTTTGCTTTTTTCAATAGATTCATTTTCAATAATGTCTTTAAAAATTATTTATCACAGGGTAGCACAGTGGCTAAATGGTTAGCAATTCCGCCTGGCAGTACTAGGGTCGTTGGTTTGAATCCCAACCACGGCACCACCTGCCTGGAGTTTGCATGTTCTCCCTGTGCCTGCGTGGGTTTCCCCTGGGTACTCCAGCTTCATCCCACACTCCAAAGACATGCTGGTAGGTTAATATGCTCCTGTCTAAATTGGCCTTAGTACAATATGTATTAATTTCACTCACTCTCTTCTAACTTTGCTTTATGCAGGCATGCTGGGCTTCTGTATAGTAAGCATAGTAGTGCCTATGTGTTAGGAAGTGTGCACTGCTTGCACTAATGAGAAGGCCTGGACTGAGCAGCAAAATAGGTTGTGTCAGACTTTGTTAGTGGGGATGATATCAGAGCATTGTGTGAAACTGTACTGGCAAATGTTTTCAAGATAAGGCTGTACTACTTTTGGTTAATATGGAACATGTAACATTTCATATTTATCATTGAAAATATACAAATTAGTTTTCTGTCTCAGCCTCAACATCCAAATCATTGGATTCAGGTGTTCCAATCACCTTCATGGCCACAGGTGTATAAAATCAAGCACCTAGGCATGCAGACTGCTTCTACAAACATTTGTGAAAGAATAGGTCACTCTCAGGAGCTCAGTGATTTAAAGCGTGGTACCGTGATAGGCTGCCACCTGTGCAATAAGTCCATCTGTGAAATTTCCTTGCTACTAAATATTCCATGATCAACTCTTAGTGATATTATAACAAAGTGGAAGCAACTGGGAACAACAGCAACTCAGCCACAAAGTGCAAGGCCATGTAAAATGGCAGAGCGGGGTCAGCGCATGCTGAAGTGCACAGTGCTCAGAAGTCGCCAACTGTCTGCAGAGTCAATAGCTAAAGAGCTCCAAACTTCATGTGGCCTTCAGTTTAGCACAACAACAGTGCACAGAGAGCTTCATAGAATGGGTTTATATGGCTGAGCAGCTGCATCCAAGCCTTACATCACCAAGTGCAATGCAAAGCTTCGAATGCAGTGCTGTAAAGCACGCCGCCACTGGACTCCGCCACTGCCAATCCGATGAACATGTCTGGGTTTGGCGGTTGCCAGGAGAACGGTACTTGCCTGACTGCATTGTACCAAGTGTAAAGTTTGGTGGAGGAGAGATTATGGTGTAGGGTTGTTTTTCAGCAGTTGGACTTGGCCCCTTAGTTCCAGTGAAGGAAACTCTTAAGGCGTTAGCATACTAAGACATTTTGGACAACTTCCTGCTCCCAACTTTATGGGAACAGTTTGGGAATGGCCCCTTCCTGTTTCAACATGACTGCGCACCACTGTGCAAAGCAAGGTCTATAAAGACATGGATGAGCGAGTTTGGGTTGGAGGAAGTTGACAGGACTGCACAGAGTCCTGACCTCAACCCGATAGAACACCTTAGGAATGAATTAGAGTGGAGACTGCGAGCCAGATCTTCTTGTCTGACAGCAGTGCCTGACCTCACAAATGTGCTTCTGGAAGAATGGTCAAACATTCCCATAGACACTCCACTAAACCTTGTGGACAGCCTTCCCAGAAGAGTTGAAGCTGTTAGAGCTGCAAAGGGTGGGCCAACTCAATATTGAACCCTATGGACTAAGGCTGGGATGCCTTTAAAGTTCATTTGCGTGTGAATTTTTATTCATTTATTTTTTTATACTAGTAATGGCGACAATCATCAACTTATAGCAGGACTGCGGCGGGCATTCTGACACTAACTGACACTGGGTGGGAACTGACTAACTGCCACTGACATCTCCAGTGACATTAATACAGTGATCAGTGCTAATAAAAAGCACTGACACTGTACTAATGGTACTGGGTGTGAAGGGGTAACCTGTGTTGTTTACACACAGATCTCTCCCATCAGCTTCTCCGCCAATCACCAAGTCCTGGCCATGAACCACTGGTGATTGACATCTCTGGGAGCCAATAACAGCATGGGTGGGGAGCGTATTTCTATGTGATTTTGCACATTGCGGCTGCCCTGCAGCAGCATATCTGCTATAGAGTGGTCCTTAAATGGATACGTATACCATTTTCTCTATGTTCAAGTCTACTGATGTCTAAGTGACCTTGTTGATTCTTATTAATAAAGAATTTGAAAAAATGTAAAAAACTTAGTTTTAAATAAACTCATGAAAAAACATATTTCTTACTACAATTTCTCTTTAGCAAGTAAATCATTAAATGAAAACCAACCATAAAACTGTGCCTGATGGTAATTGTTATAAATTGTACATGTATTTTGGTGATGCACAGAGCTCAGAACACATTTGGGGCCAGCGTCAGAGAGTGAAGGAGTGGACAAAGAAGTTGAAGATGAAGATTACCAACCAGTACAACAGCACAACTCAGAGGAGGTTGTCCATACATCAGGGGTCAGCACCATGAGCTCCCTGGTTTCACATGACACCCAAAGCCAGCAGTTAAACCTACAGCTTGGAAGACTCAGACAAGAGACCAATAGGTATTATTTTTGCCCTCTAGTGCTCAGAAGTAGCAGTGCACTCGTTTTACATGTCTCTTTCTAGACCTGCCTGTTTAAAATAGATTTTAGGTTGTGAAGCCAGATAACTTATTGGTGTTAAAGTGAACCCACCTCACCTAAAATATTTCTAAGGTAACAACAATGCAGAACTGTAGACACCTTTTGGTGCCTGCAAGTCTTTAAAATCAAGCTATGTGTTCCTCTGGAATGCATTGAACTCTAAGCCCAGGCTGTAGATGGTGCATTTCTTCTGCCTCCCCCAAGTGCTTATTCTGTTCAATCATTCAACTGTTAAAAGCCAGAGGCCTTGGTAATTTTGGCATCTGACCATTTTATTGAAGGGTTGAGGTTTAGCACAAGGAGAAGGTTTAAAGGATAAGTTCACCTTTGGGAACGTGTTAGATGTTCCACCCGTAACAGTCCGTGAATGAATGAACTGCAAGTCCCGACAGCCTTACCAGCTGTCGGCTTGTAGTTTTCAATGAACTACCACACTGTGGAGTGCCGTGGTAGTTCAGTGAGCCTTTCTGCAAGAATATACGCTTGCTTGTACATTCCGTATGGCAAGCAGATATTCTGACAGGTCTGCAGGAGACCTGCATGGCATCAGCGATCTACTGATCACTGGTGCAATGCTTTCCAGGCTCCTGTAGACAAAAATAATAAATGCACGTTTTTTTACCTGCAAAAATATGTGCATTTATTATTTTTGTCTAAAAGGTGAACTTGTCCTTTAAGTTGGCCATACACTATAAAATCTGTACAAACCTCTTTAGATATACCAACAATTATGTAATGCGAGCACCTTCCTGAATGGATTGTATAGGTGTGGCTTCATGTTACTTAGTTTTGGTAAAACCAAAGGAGATTGTGCAATCCATTCAGATTGTACAGTGCCTTGAAAAAGTACCCCTTGAAATTTTCCACATTTTGTTATGTTACAACCAAAGACATGAATGTATTTTATTGAGATTATATGTGATAGACCAACACAAAGTGGCACACAAATGATAAATGGTTTTCAAAATTTCTTACAAATATCTGAAAAGTGTGGCGTGCATTTATATTCAGCCCCCCCCCCAGAGTCAATACTTAGAATTACCTTTCGCTGAAATTACAGCTGCAGGTCTTTTTGGGCATGTCTCTACCAGGTGTGAACATCTGGAGAGTTAAATTTTTGCTCATTCTTCTTTTTAGAATAACTCAAGCTCTGTCAGATTGAATGGAGAACATCTATGATCAGCAATTTTCAAGCCTTGCCAAAGATTCTCAATTGGATTTAGGTCTGGACTTTGACTGGGCGATTCTAACGCATGAATATGCTTTGATCTAAACCATTCCATTGTAGCTCTGGCTGTATGTTTAGGGTCGTTGTCCTGCTGGAAGGTGAACCTCCCCCCAGTCTCAAGTCTTTTGCAGACTCTTAACAGGTTTTTCTTGTAAGATTGCCCTGTATTTGGCTCCATCCATCTTCCCATCAACTCTGACCAGCTTCCCTGTCCCTGCTGAAGAAAAGCATCCCCACAATATGATGCTGCCACCACCATGTTTCATGGTGGGGTGGTGTGTTCAGAGTGATGTGCAGTGTTAGTTTTACGCCACACATAGCGTTTTGCTTTTACAGTTGTGTCCAAAATTATTCAACCCCCAATGCTGTAAAGGGGTTTAGGGACTATAGTGTACATTTGGAATTGTATTCAGAATCAAATCCTACAAGGACGTTGTAACTACCCAAATGCAACTAAAATGACATCAATTGTTTATGTAATACAGTAGTAAATGGTTCTTATGTGGTTTCTTCATTGCCACAATTATTCAACCCCTTAAAGACTACCACTCTGAAGAACAGAGGTTCATACAGGTGCTTTCCATCAGGTATTGAAAACACCTGTGGATGTCACCGAGCAGCAATCAAGCATAATAAGCACCAATTAGGCAGCTTTAAAATGACTGTGATACTCAGCTCCTTCTAGACATTTACTGGTGTGGTTACAAACATGGTGAAGGCAAGAGAATGGTCCAGGAAGACAAGAGAAGAGGTGATTTCTCTTCACAGGAAGGGCAATGGCTATAAGAAGATTGCAAAGATGTTAAACATACCAAGAGACACCTTAGGAAGCATCATTCGCAAATTCAAGGCAAAGGGCACTGTTGAAACGCTACCTGGTCGTGGCAGAAAGAAGATGCTGACTTCGACTGCTGTGCGCTACCTGAAGCGTAGAGGTGGAGAGAAGTCCCCGTGTGACTGCTGAGGAACTGAGAAAAGATTTGTCAGATGTGGGTACAGAAGTTTCAGCCCAGACAATAAGACGCACACTGCGTAATGAAGGCCTCCGTGCCAGAACTCCCAGGCGTACCCCCTTGCTGTCTCCAAGAATAAGAAGAGTCGACTGCAGTATGCCAAAAGCCATGTGGACAAACCAAAAGTTGTGGGATAGTGTTCTGTGGACTGATGAAACAAAATTAGAACTGTTTGGGCCCATGGATCAACGCTATGTTTGGAGGTGGGGTGGGTTGGGGGGGGGAGGGGAAGAACAAGGCTATGATGAAAAGAACACATCTTGCCTACTGTGAAGCATGGTGGAGGGTCAATCATGCTTTGGGGCTGTTTTGCTTCTGCAGGTACAGGGAAGCTTCAGCGTGTGCAAGGTACCATGAATTCTCTTCAGTACCAGGAGATATTGGATGGAAACGTGATGCCCCGTCACACACCTGAGGCTTGGGAGACGTTGGACCTTTCAACAGGACAATGATCCCAAGCATACCTCCAAGTCCACTAGAGCATGGTTGCAGAGGAAAGGCTGGAACATTTTGGAGTGTTCGCAGTCACCAGACTTAAATCCGATTGAGAACCTCTGGTGGGACTTAAAGAAAGCAGTTGCAGTGCGCAAGCCTAAGAATGTGACTGAACTGGAGGCCTTTGCCCATGAAGAATGGGCGAAGAGATTACCCGTAGATCGCTGCAAGACACTTGTGTCAAGCTATGCTTCACGTTTAAAAAGCTGTTATAACTGTAAAAGGATGCTGTACTAAGTACTAAGATTGAATGTCACTTGGGGGTTGAATAAAACTGATAATGCTGTGAGCACAGAAAAGACATTTGTGGTTATTTCATTATAACTGTTATGTTATATTTGTCTGACCTACAAGTGCCTCTTTAATGTAAATGTAAGCAAGATGACTGAATGATCAAAAGCAATGTCAAACTGGCCAAAACACTCAATTTCAGTGGGGGTTTGAATAATTTTGGACACAACTGTAGGCCAAAAAGTTCAATTTTGGTCTCATCTGAACAGAGCACCTTCTTCCACATGTTTGCTGTGTCACTCACATGGTTTCTCGCAAACTGCAAATGGGACTTCTTATGGCTTTCTTTCAACAATGGCTTTCTTCTTGCCTGTCTTCCATAAAGGCCAGCTTTGTGGAGTACATGACTATTAGTTGTCCTGTGGACAGATTCTCCCACCTGAACTGTGGATCTCTGCAGCTCCTCCAGAGTTACCATGGGCCTCTTGGCTGCATCTCTGATTAATGCTGTCCTTGCCTGTCAGTTTAGGTGAAATGCCCTTTCTTGGTAAGTTTGCAGTTGTGCCATACTCTTTCCATTCTCGGATAATGAATTGAACAGTGTTCAGTTAGATGTTCAAAGCTTGGGATATTTTTTTTATAACATAACCCTGCTTTAAACTTATCCACAACTTTATCCCAGACCTGCCTGGTGTGTTCCTTGCCCTTCTTGATGCTGTTTGTTCACTAATGTTCTGTAACAAACCTCTGAGGGCTTCACAGAATAGCTATATATATACTAAGATTAAATTACACTCAGGTGCACTCTATTTACTAATTTGATGACTTCTGAAGGCAATTGGTCCCACTAGATTTTAGTTAGGGGTATCAGAGTAAAGGGGACTGAATACAAAATGCACGCCACAAAATTTGAAAATTTGAAAACCATTTATCATTTTCTTGTTCTCTAACAAACCGATGAAGGCTTCACAGAACTGCTTTATTTATCCTGAGATTAAATTACACACAGGTATACTTATTTACTAATTAGGTGACTTCTGAAGGCAATTGGTTCCACTAGATTTTAGTTAGGGGTATCAGAGTAAAGGGGACTGAATACAAATGCACGCCACACTTTTCAGATATTTATTTGTAAAAAATGTTGAAAACCATTTATCGTTTTCCTTCCACTTCAGAATTATGAACCACTTTGTGTTAGTTTATCACATAAAATCCCAATAAAATACATTTACATTTTTGGTTGTAACATGAGAAAATATGGAAAACTTCAACGGGTATGAATACTTTATGATGGCACTGTATAGTGTATTGCCTGCTTAAAAAAAAACGTTATGATGCCAACAGATATAGCAGATTGGATTACCCTACTCACCAGTATCCAAAACCATCCTTCCATAACAACCTCTCTGGTTAATTTACCCTGGTCAAAAGCCATAATATTCCTGTTAAGGAACTTAATTGATCCAATTCAAATTATAAACCTCAATATGTACCTTCCACTAAAAAATTAATTATTTTCTGGTGCAAATCTCTGGCATCAATACATTCCCATAACCCGTCAACTGTTAACCTGTGCTGAACACGTTGGTGCTCGGACACGGTCATCCAGCATCCAGAGTGAAGATGCCAAACTGCAAGACACAGTTATTGCAAGTAACCAGTCAAGAATTGCACCTAAATCCTTTTGGGATATCAACAGAGCCTCTTGTTTAAAAACAACTCCCTTTGTATTAGAAAAATATTTCATTTATTGACAGCAGCCATGTGCCAGATCCCTCTTGTGAAAGAGATCAGAGTTTTCTCAGACAGATTTGGCTAGCAAAGTTTTGGAGGTCAAGTGCTGTGCAATTTCCCAACAACGATGTAGTGCTTGGGCCTGTCTGATTTTATACAAATGAATGGAGTAATTTAGGTAGGCCCTTGTATATCTGGCAACTAACCGTGTATGGCCAACTTTAGGCTGGTCGGTTTGTTTCAGACTCATATGCTTGTTTAGTTCTCTCTAAAAACGCCCAGCCATTGTGACATTCCTAAACATTTTAAATAAAAGTGTGATTAGGAAGATTCTTATATATCACTCTCATGAATGAACAAAGGTGGGTTCATAACTGCTGGCTAATTAAGTCCAGATTCCATTTAATTATTTTTAAACTTTTCATTATATTTATTGCAGGTTATTAGAAGACCTGGTACAGAAAGAACGGGAATACCAGTTTTTGTTAAAACAGTGTTTGGAACAGAGAAGTCATGACTTGCATTTACTTCAGATAAAATCAAGCATGGGTAATTTTTTTTTTTATGCTTTTTTGCATATTTTAAACAGTGCTATGTCATGTTTTGGTGCCTTGAACACTCCTGCCCTGTATGTAAAAACTGACTGATGAACAAAGATTTCTTATTATGAACTCAGTTTAGAAACCCCATAAATCAATTTTAACAAGGTGAATCCATATTTAAATTGTTATTTGCACATTAGACAGATACAGATGTTTTATATAAAGAAAAAAGCCCTGCTTACTTCTCCTCCCACTAGATGGGTGCTTAATCTGCAAAGAGCTCATTCTGTCTCCCACACACAATAAGTACATTGTATGCTGAATAAATATTTGATTTGTTGGACTTATTGGAGTGCATCAGTTTCCTCTGTTTTTCTGATATAGGAAACTAATGACAGGCATGCAGCAAAGAAGCATAATCATAGTTGTCTGTAAGGGCTGAATGTGGCCAATAAAACATCATTTGCATATCTGTTTAATGAGTGACCTAAACAGTAAGAGTAGAGATACCAAATGTCATTATAAAGGTTTAAACAGTTCAGTTTTCATTACTGCAGAAGGTAGATTGTGTATTTACCCGTATCCAATGGTATATACATGCTTCTTTATATTTTTTTTTAGAGGCAGAATTCCCTGCTCCCTGAGCATGGACATTTGCTGAAAGGATTAAACAGTTTATATACTGTCATCCATAATTCTAACAAGAGGATATCTGATAGATTAACATTGGTATGGTTAAGGGGTAAGCCCACCTACAGACAGCTCTGATATGCATACTAGGCTCATCAGTGTTACAGATGTGATGATGCATGCAAAGCAAAGATACAGGTTTGCTTTAATGTGCAGTCCCCCAGCAGTATATACTTACCATTCCTTACATTAGTAGAAGTGCCATCTCTTGTAAAGATCAATTAAGGTGCATTTTCATTTATAAGGGTCTTGAGTTCCAATCCCATTCCCTTAAAGTGAACCTGTGCATACTAAAGTTTTTACATATTCTAAATAAGCAGTAACATCACTTTAAAAAGCACTCATTCATCTCTAGTAATTAGCATTGTGGATACATTTATTTTCAAAGTTCACAACAGAAGCACTGTAATCTTAGTTTATTCTATGAGGTAGCCTGCAAGATCTCTAATGTGAACATCCAGTAGATGTTTCTGTTAGAAAGGACTGAAACGTGACATTCTTTTGTTATGATCTTTGAGAATTAATTACTTCAGAGTACATACAACTCAAAAAGGCAAATAAAAGCTTGTTTAAAAGGGTTTTTTTTACAACTTGTTTAGAATATGAAAATAGGTTAATATTGGTCATATTTTAGGCAGAGGTGTACTTTAAAGCAAACCTGTGCTTTGCCCATGCAGGACTTTTTGCTTTAATGCCCACCTCCCCATCATCTCACATTCTGCTTCAACCACTGTGCGCAAAGAAACTACCAGGGTGGAAAAAAACTACCTGGCGCTTCAGAGTATGAAAGAGCATGATACTCATTCCTTTTCTTTTCATGTGGCAGTATTGGTACTTAGTGACTCTTCCTGCAACTGCGTGACAGCTCTGAACCACAGTCCTCAGTTCTGTGTAATCTCCAACTAGAGCATTACATATTCTTTCTTCAGTCTCAGTGGCTGAACAGAGCAGCAGGGGATTAAAATATGTGAATACGTGCTTCGGGGATTAAAGGGAATTTTGTTGCTTTTTTTCCCTGCATGGCCAAATAACAGGTTTGGTAAAGTAATATGCAATCAGAACCTTGTGAATTTAGTTAACTGATCTAACTACGGGGGAGTTTTACTAAAACCGGTGTACTCACCAGCCAATCAGTTTCTAACTTCGGATTGTTCAATGAAACTTTGGCAAGAAAACCTGGAAGCGTATTGTTTTTTATGCAGAGTTGCACTAGATTTTGCATTCTACTGTTTTAGTAAATAACCTCCCATGTGTCTGGCAATTCTATTAATGTTAGTCTTGGTTACTATTTCACAAACCAAGACAATGTTGGAATACAGTTCATGTAGATCAGCATTAATAGGTTCCTTTGGCTTTATCCATAGATAACCCAAGATCTGCGTCTTATGTGTCAATTGGCATTAACAGAGACCAAGAGTTGGTGGAATGGCTGAGGCAGCAGGGTACAGCAGAGGATGTGATTGAACAAGTATGGGTCTCTATTCTTCAGTGTTCATCATTCTTTATTAGAAGCTGGATGTATATAATTGATTTTATATATATATATATATATATATATATATATATTTATTTATATCTAACTTTTTCAGTTTATTGAAGAAGGCTACACGCTTTATGATGTTCTGCATGAAGTCACCAAAGAAGACCTGAAAAACCTTAGACTCAGGTATGACAAGTCATTATTACCTATATGTCAATAATGTATTATTTAATGTGTACTTAAAAATACTCTGCATAGTAAAACAAATTCAGATAAAGATGCAGAAATATTTGTTTCTACAGAACACAGACATATATTGATTCAGGACTTCAGTCTGTGTCTCCTATACAGCAGCTGGCAGGTTTGTGTCATTAAGGGAAACTGAGGAACTGCTCAGGTAGTAGGCAACTAGCAAGCATCGTAAGGAGCCAGGTAGCATGTGCTTCCAGTGACATTATTAAAAAAAAGTGTGATTTTGAATAGTACTTCAGTTTTAGTATAGAATCTGGCTTTTGGTACTTCCTATCTGGGTTCTTGTGTATTGTGTTAAAAGAAAATGTTCCCCAGTGCTTCTGACCCCACACGTCAAGGCAAAATAAATAAAAATATGACGAATATCTCTGCAATACATGCATATTTCCCCATGTGTTATCACTTTAAAAAATGCTTCAAGCACAGAAAAACTGGATTTTCTTGTTACTCACCGTAAAATCCCTTTCTCTGAGTTCATTGATAGAGACAGCCGCTTCTTCTTTATCCATTACCAAATGGGGTTTTAAAAGCCCCACATACAGGAGCAGGACATTTGGCAGCAAAAAAATTGCCACCTCAAATGGGCAGTCCGTTTCTGGGCATAAAACCCCCCTCTGTGCTGCAAACATAGTAACGTGCATCCAAATAGCAAAGCGTAGGAAACGCTAATGGCCTTCGCAGATGGAAATGTGCAGGTAAATGTCCTTGATGGCCATAAAAGCCAGAAAATCCCCCTAGTGAGGGGAGGCCACCACCAAGCAAATGGGTTCCATTTTGAACTGGGGAGTCTACATGAAGGCATTCAGGTCCTTGAGACCCCAGATCACATAAGCCCCGTCTTGGTAACTGAACAGATGGGGGTAAATAAAAATAGAATAGGTAGGCGCTATATATATATATATATATATAGATATATATATATATATCAAAATACAATATAGAAGGGATGTGTATATACAAATAATCCCTATAACCACTCTATATAGTGTAAGGCCCACAAAACTTGGACCAACTGTAGTGACCCTAATCAAATCTTGTCTCAGTGTTATTCTATTCTAAATGAAGCTGCCCTTAATTAAGTGTGATTGACACTTACAACATACAAATAAAATATAAATAGATAGGCGCTACATTTGCCCAAACAATAAACTTCATATAGTGCAATAAGTACAAGATTAGTACCACTTGAGGGTTAACTCAGTTTTGGTCCATGCAAAAAGTTTTAGCCTACAGCACCTGATGTTCCCAGGCAGTCTCCCATCTAGGTGCTAACCAGGTCTGCCCCTGCTTACCTTCTATAATCGAACAAGATCAGGTACATTCAGGGTGATGTGGCCATAAGTAGCTAAATGTGCTTAGACCAAAAAGATATTGTAACCCCTCCGTATAGCAATTCAAACAATAGTGAACATGTGAAGTGAATATTAAAAACCATGAATATAATGACAACTCTTGTAACTGTCACAAAATAGAGTAATAGAAAATTCCAAAGAGGGTAAAAAAAATAAAACAAATTGAAAAAAATCAAATATATAAAAAATAAATGCGACTGTGATCTTCATCGCATGTTCATAACCGTGAAGTGTAGATGACTCACTCACCAGATCCTTTGAACCCTGTTATGGTGGTCAAATGCACCTTTGGTTATATAGGGAACCACCCTTTCTTGTTGGATTCTCCATTTTTCTCCCTCTAAATCTCCATGGATTATAGCCAGATATAAGAGATTCCAATAGGTTTTCCAGTAATATACTTTAGGTTAGTTTTAGATATTCCTCCCACGGGAATGCAGCTGGCCAATGAATGAATCAGACAAGTAAGTAGCTTACCTAAGTATATTACTTTAATAGGAATTAAAATCACATAGACAAAAATATTCCACTCACTTGTACAGGTGCTTGTAAATCAGCACCAGTGTTTCAGGCATATATATTTTTAAAAGATGGCTGCTTTATTTATATATTTCAGGTACTTATATAGTGCTGTAAATTTACGCAGCGCTTTACATATATATTGTACATTCCTATCAGTCCCTAACCCTCAAGGAGCATACAATCTAAGGTCCCTAACTCACATTCGTACATACATATACTAGGGCCAATTTTAGACAGGATCCAATTAACCTACCAGCATGTCTTTGGGGTGTGGGAAGAAGCTGGAGTACCCGGGGGAAACCCACGCATGGAAAATAGACCCTTTTAGGGATAGGCTAACGTGTTTCGGGAGACGGACCCCCTTCCTCAGAGCTCTGATGAAGGGATTCCGTCTCCCGAAATGCAGTAGCCTAATCCCTGCAAGGGTCTATTATTCCATTGGACTGACATTACGGATTTATCTGCTCTGTTTTTATTCTCTTTGGTTTGTGAGTATACATCTATATGTTTTCTAAATAAATTTTTGGTGTACCACGGTAATACACGATGAGAGTGCGCCCTTGTTTGCTTTTGTTTGCCAGTACCAAGATTTCCTGATCTTTGAAGGACTGCACCTCAACATTTGGCATTCAAAGTTCCTTCTAGTCTGCATGAAGATTTGAGTGCTGGTTTTGTTTGTACTTTTAGATTGCAAAGTTTTTTTCTGCCTATTATTCTACTCCTGTAGGTGGGGCTATAAAACCCAATTTGGTAATGGTTAAAGAAGAGGCTGTGTCCGTCAATGAATGTAAGAGAAAATACTGCACTGCCAAATCCAGAGAGCTCTCAACTTCCTGTTTCCATGCGCAAAGCTGTCTCTGCTGCAGTTAAAGCCTGTTTAATGATGTCAGCCCTGTCTGCTCTTCTCCATTAGACTCTCTCCTTTATGCTATGAAGATGAAGAAAGGGGAGGTGTTGTGCAGTCCAGCAAAAGAGAACTGGACAGGGCCGACAATATTGTGTAGCAGAGAAAATGGGGTTCATTTACTAAAGGCAAATAGACTGTTTACCATGCAAGGGAAGTTGCAGTTGGAGTTATCTCCAGTGCTTAGTGAATGAAGTGAAGCTCTGCAGACTTCCATCATCCAGCCTTGTGCAAGTAAAAAAAGCTTTTTTGTTATCTTCCTTGCATCTGATTGGGTAATCTTTGCAAAGGGAAATTTCATCACATTCACTAAGCTCTTTTGAAAACTCCTTTGCAAAGTGAAAGTGCAATGCCCCATTGTCTGTGGCTAGGGACCCAGGCAGTAGGGCTTGGGAGCAAGCTCACACAAGCACCCACCCCCCCACCTCCCCCAGCAAGTGGCTTGCTAGAGGGAGGGGGGGTACTCAAAAGGCAGGAGGAGCCAGAAGTGCTGGGGGGGGGACCAGATTAGGAGGATCAGGGATGCTGTTTGCAAAACTATTGCACAGAACAGGTAAGTATAACAAATAAATAAATATTTAGAATCACTTTAAGGGCATATTTTGTTGTAGAATTGTCTCAGTGATGTGACAAAATCAGTAATTTACTCCAACATGGAAGAGGTCTTATTTATATCTCCTTTGTTTATCACCAATATGGTGGTACTTCTTTATGAATTTGTAGCAACTATAGCGCTATTCACAAATAAGAACTTCTTGAATCTGTCACAGAAAAGTCAGTAGTAACAATGAAAATGTTGCAGGATTTTCATGATTTTGACTTCGGACTACATTCAGATAGCAAGATATGTGTTGCAAATGCCTAATTGAATTTATATTTTGCAGAATTTCTGTAATACTAATTATATTGTTGCTAAGTGTGTTTGTTTTTATTACAATGCTCTTGGTGTGTTGCACCGAAGTTGCAAGATTTCCTTTCACTTGTAGTTTACATTTTTATCTATTAGTAGCAGTGAACCCCCTGAGTATAAACTTGTATGAGGTCATCGGGGTAATCAGCATGGAGGTCTAGATCAGAATTGAAAAAGTTCCATATCACAAATGTAAATTGAGATGTGCAAATTTTTTTTAAATTTGTGAATCAGTTGCTTTATTTTCAGTAGTTCATTAGAATATCCAAATACTGATTCTTTTTGTTCTGCCACAGGGGTGGACCGTTGTGCCGGTTATGGAAAGCTATCTCCAAGTACAGAAAGCCGAATAAAATTGAAGTCAATTATTAGCCTTATAAATACTTTGATGCAGTCAGATATGTAAACTGTACATTACAGAGAGAAAAACCATTCCAATGTTTAAGTTATTTATCTTTTGTATATCACTGTATAGCTGTTCCTCCTCTGTGAGTGTTTTCGTACAAGTAGACGTATTTAAAATCTTTGTACTGTAACTTGGATACAAAATAGGATGTTTTTTGTCATTGTACTGATAAAAAGACGATTGAATGTTTGTCATTATGGATTTTGTAATTGAATGTAAAATGTGCAGTTAGGTTTTAAAAAGGATAAGTGAAAATGACTCTCATTGATGTATGTGAACTGGGGTGTACAACTGCAGTCCTTGGGGCCTTCATACTGGCCAAATATTTGGCAATGTCAGTTAATTTTCTTTAATCACATTATAAACTATTTGTTGTCAATTAGTCAACTCCTGAATTTGAGGATGTTGGCCTTTAAAGAGTATTTCCACTCTTGAAGTCAGATTTGAGAAAACCCCACTGTATGTTTGTTATATGTTCTCATTCACACAGTTATGCTATGGAGATGGGAACATGTAACAAATATAAAGTAAGTGTTGCCCCTATTTGGCTGACATACACTTGACGCTGTAGAGTTGTGCACCTTTTGAAGTAAAATGTGTAGGAACACCTATTAGGGTCCAATATTTCTATAAAGCAAACCTTCACAACGTAGGGGGTTGAACTACTGCATTCGTGCTTTGATGATGTCACTGGGTAATAGCGAACTTCATTCTTAGCATTGCTGGCTGATGCCAAAATGTGTGTCTCTTTTTTTATATGCAATTTAGAGTATAAGTGTTAAAAAAAACCCTCAAATATAATATATTAGTGTGCAGCATTAACATAGTATATTACCTCAATATTCAACTGTTATCCTTGATTAATCTTTCCCTGGCTTTTTACTACATATTCTGGCAATGAATGTGACATGTGAGTTGCCAAAGTTACACGGAGGTGACACTATGCTTGCGATTCTTGTGGAAATTCAGTGATATCAGTACAGTAGGAAACAAATACCAGCGCTGTGCACTGGCATTAGGTTGGCTAGTTCTTTAGATGCAGACTAGTTTTGATGGCCTACCAATGGGATCCAGCTTTAAAGGAGAAGTACAGCCAAAGCTTTTTTTGCTGTACTTCTCCTGTGGGTCACAGGAGTGCAGTTCGTTCTGCACTCTGTGACCCATTTTCAGCTGACAGCGGGCTAAAGCCCTGAAGCTCTAGAGAGTGCTGGGGAGGGGGGGGGGGGGGGGTTCAGAGCAGACAGCGATGACTGATGGTCACTGTTCTTTGCACACAGCAGCAGTGAGAATACAGCAAACCGATGTTCACTGAGGTCTCACACTTAGAGTTGGCAGGGGACAGATGCAGCATCAGACAGAGGTATGATTTGGGGGGAAAAAGAAAAAAAAAAAAAAAAAAAACACCTTTTTTAGGCTTCCGCAGGGCCTAACACTGATCCGTTGTGATACCCGCCACCCCCTTGGGTATCTGTAGTTCCTCTGTGGCTTGTGAATGTCTCATTCATAGCAATGTGTGAATATTGCTCCATAGATACAACATTGGTAGAACTAAAGCAGTGCTCAAAGAGGTAACTGAAGTGTAAACTGTGATTTGGATCTCTTGCTGCTGAACAGTTTAAACTCTTGTTGACAGTTGCCTCATTTGCTATACAATGTAATCAGTCTGCTGTACATTAAAGTGTAACTCCATCCATAACCTATATTGATATTAGAATAGGGTAGGGTTTTTATTGGTCTGTGTGACCCTATTGGGGAGACTTCCTTCCACTTCCTGTCCTGGTGAAAACATTGTTGTTGGGATTGGAGTTTAGCAGGAATCTCTCCAGTAGACACATGTAGTAGGGTAAACCCATGAGAAATTTCAGACTGCTTCATTCCATTAAAAACAAGTTCTGCCTGGAATAAATACTTTAAGTGACTGGCAAAACATGTCTGATTGAATGATACGTATATTTTAGTACTGAGGGGCTGGGATGGGAACCAGTGAAAGTTGTAGGGCCTGGCCAAGATCCAGAATACCAAGTCCCTGGGTGCTTTTTTTGGGTACAATTATTTTTATCCTTTATCATTTTGTAATAGTGCTATCTTTTTTTCACACTTGACAGGTTCATAAATCGGACTAACACTATATTGCTTAAATGAAGGTGAACATATGATGTGCTACATACATTTCTTTGTAACATTCAATGTTGCAGTATTAGGTTATGTGTGTGGAGGTTACTGCACTACTGATTTGCTGTACAGAAACATGAATATTTCTTGTATATAATAAAGTTATTTCACTGGTAGATGCTTGTCCTAACCTGTAATAGGAATCTTGTGCCCCAAACTATGGGACAAGAAACACCTTTACAGTTAGTAGACAGGCAGTGCACTCAGACACTTTTCAGTTTGTTGCATTGGGGATTATTTACTAAAGCTGGAGAGTGCAAAATCAGGCTCACTTCTGCATAGAAACCATAGGTTTTATTGTCAAAGCTTAATTGAACAAGTAGAGGTTAGAAACTGGTTGGTTTCTATGCAGAAGTGAGCCTGATTTTGCATAGTTGGTAAGGTTGAATAAAGACACCAGTCCATCCAGTTCAACTGGTGTGGGTGTGTGTGTTCATGTTAAAACTCATATCCCTCTATACTGTGTTCTCTAAGAAACCCATCCAAGAGTTTTTTAAAACTATCAATATATTTTTTGAGACTGATTAGTTTATTCTTTATGCCAGAATCACCTTTGAGGTATTTGTACAATCGCTATCATATCTCTTCTCAAGCATCTCTTCTCCAAGGAGGATAGGTTTAATGCTTGTAGTCATTCCTCATAACTGACGTCCTCCAGTGCCCTCATTAACTTTGTTGGTCTTCTCTGAACTCTCTCCAGTACCAGCACATCCTTCCTGAGGACTGATGACCAGAATTTGATGGCATACTCCAGCTGCGGCCAAACCAGAGCGCTATAACGTGACAGGATCATAGTTTTATCTCTGGAGTATATTCCCTTCTTAATGCATGCTAATATTCTGCTAGCTTTGTTTGCTGCAACTTTTGCATGCCATTGCTAAGTCTGTCATGTACCAGGACCCCCAAATCTTTTTCTGTCCTGGCCTCCCTCAGAGGTTCTCCTCCTAGCGAGTAACTTTCATTCATATTTTTAGCCCCCCAGTGCATTACTTTACATTTTTCAACATTAAACCTCATTTGCCGTATATCTACCCAACCCTTAATTTTATTGAGGACTTCTTGGTTTCTGCTTCCTGCTGTGAAGTTATTGCCCTACTAAGTTTTGTATCATCTGCAATCACTGAGATTGAGCTAGTTATACCAACCTCTATCATTTATGAATGGATTAAACAGAATTGGTCCAGTATAGAGCCTTGGGGTATCTCAGTTACTACTCCAGTCCAGTCTGAGTATATGCTATTTATTACTACCCTTTGGACACACCCCTTTAACGAGTTTTCTATCCATTTACAAACCATACAGTCCATGCCTAAAGACCTCAGTTTGTAAATTAAGCATCTATAGAGGACTATATCAAATGCTTTTTCAAAATCCAGATATACCACATCCACCAGACTAACTTTATCTAGTCGGCAACTCACTTCCTCGGAGAATGTTAACAGATTGGTTTGGCAAGAACGACCCTTCATAAAGCCATGCTGATTGCTACCAATGAGATTTCCTCAGGAAATGTTGGGATATGATCCCTTATCATCTCCTCCAATAGTTTACATACTATCAATATTAGACTGACTAGTCTGTAGTTTCCAGGAATATATCTCTGCCCTTTTTAAATATTGGAACCACAGTGGCCCTTCACCAGTCAGCTGGTACCATTCCTGTCAGTATGCTGTCCATAAAAATTAGGAATAATGGTCTGGCTATAACCTGGCTGAGTTTTTGAGGACTGTCTGGTGTAAGCCATCTGGTCTTGGTGATTTATTTGCGTTAAGATTTTCAAGACTTTTACTGACACTGGTTTCTGTTAGGCACAATGGTACACTTTGTGATGCGTTACTAATGATGCAATTTTGACTACTGTATGCTTGTTTCCTCTGTAAAATTCCCTTTTGTCATCTTTTACAGGGCCAATAGGTTCTGACCTAACTGTTTTACTGTTAATAATATATATATATATATATTTTTTTTTTTTTTTTTTCTCATGGTCTATGTCAGCTGCATTGATTGCGCAATTTTTTTTTTATTAAACCATTTTTTCCTCTTGGATATTTTTTTGTTAGTTTAGCCACTCAGGTTAACCTTCCCTCTTTTATTGTCATTGTCCATTTGGAATACAGTGAATTATACCTTTAATATATTCCTAAAATACTCCCATTTTTCCTCAGTGTTAAATGTTTCTAGTTTTTGATCCCATTTAATATCTTGTAGTATCGTGCACAGTTTAGAAAAGTTAGCTCTTCTGAAATTTAGTGTTCTTGCACTACCGCTATGCTTTGTTTTCCTGTGATCACTGGTTCCCAAGCTCTCCACTCTTTCCACATCTACGAATAGATTGTGTAATCTGTAACTAGTAGATCTAGTAATGCATTATTTCTAGTCAGGGCAAACACCAACTGGCACAAGAAGTTGTCTGTGAGACATATAAGAAACGACCAGCCTTAGATGAGTGAGCTGTTCCTTCTGTCCAGTCAATATCTGGATAGTTGAAGTCCCCCATTATGCTAACATTGCCCTGCCTTTGCAATGTCGTCCCACACATTCACTAGAAAATCATTTTTGATATACAGACATACCTCTCCTGCTCTTCTAGTGTCCCTGTGCCTCCAATCCAAGAAGTACCTTTGAATAGTTGCAAGGGTATGTGAGCTGTCAAACCAGGTTTCTGATATTACCACAAAGTCAAAATCCTCATGTATCATCACCTGCAGTTCTTCCATTTTGTTAGCCAAGTTCCTGGCATTTGTATACATGCCTCTCAGTTTTATAGGGGCATTTCCTTCTTATTTTTTTTCGT